GGATCCAGTGAGACAGAAGCAGAGTCAATCAGAGCAATGAAAACTCCATTTAAAGGTAAGGGCTGGGGAAGATGGTGAAACAAAGTAATCACAAAGGAAGGCCGCCGAGACCTTGACATCTGCCCTCTGTCTTCTCTCATCAAAAATGAAATTTTAGTCCCAAGAGTTTAACAAGATGTGAGGGGAATGAGTTTCTATTTAACCACAGCCTTCCAGAATTTCCAGGGCAATATCCTGGTTCAGCTTTAAACAAAATGCCTGTCCATAGCCATTTGAATCAGGAGATGAATAAACTGACTGGACAAGCTAGTAATCAGGGAGAAAATATACTTTTTCTCATTTCTCAGCTAGAAATAGCAAGCAAATATGGGGAGTGCAAAGGTTCTGACCTGCATAAGAAATTACTAGTTCCTCTCTCATTGCAATCTGGAGGAAAAAGAACCAGATTCTCCTCACCTTGGCCACGGCCACTCAAGGAGCTGAGTGTTGAGGTGGAGTTTGCCAAACTAGATCAGGCAACGAGGAGGGAAAATAAACGTGTGTGTGTGTGTGTGTGTGTGTGTGTGTCTGTATGTGTGTGTGATGAGAAGTCAGGCAGGAGAATGCTTGGTAGATGTCATGTCTCTGCCAAGCTCCCATCACCGCAAAACCCTAGATGCAGCATCCGGGGCCCCACCTCTTGGGAAATGATTAGGTCCCTTTTTTTTAGAAAGCCCATGCCTTCTGTTGACAGAAGTAGATGGACTTTTCAGAAGGAACACCACCCTGCACCCAGGCAAACATTATAAAGCTCTCAGCCCCCTCAAGGCCAGAAATATTCCCACTGGCTGCCTTGTCCTCCCACTGTCCCAGGACTACAGAGCACTGCAAGGATGTTTAAGACACAGATGGTTTATAGAGACTGGTCTCACACATTTGGACTTCTAACTCACTGATATTTTTGAGTTATAGAGCAGTCATCAACTGCTTGTTCAAGAAATTAACTCACTTCAATGTTGAGGATTTAGGGTAGACATGAGAAAGCTCCTTCCGTCAAGATATGCTTTTGAGAGCCAAAGAGTTATGTAAGAAGCAACCTGCGTTTGCCTTGGCAAACATGACACAGCAGGGTCCCTCCTAGAGCAAGCCTGGGGACTAAATCCCCTGCCACATCCCTCTCAGATCCCTGGACCCAGTTAAGTTCCTTAAATATACATAAAGAAAGGCCTAAACGTTCACTTTCCTCAAGCTGCTTGACGTAAATTTCAAAGTAAAAGCTTGGGGATTTTGTTGAAGGCAAAAATATAGATTCCTTATTCATCACTGAATTAATTGAAATGTTACTTCTCTAACTTCTGCAGCAGAGATAATACTTGTTGATAAAAATGGTTTGTTTATGACACGTACCAGACCCCTAGGGGGCCACTCCGCATTTCCATCCCTTGGCTGGCCTTGTCCACTCTTCTGGACAGCAGGGCATGACAGAAAGGAAAGGATCTGGTTTTACAGCCTCATATCACCAACCCCACAGAGACCAGAGCAGAGATTTTTACATAAGCCACTAAAATAAGCTTTGTAGCTTAAAGCAAACAAATCCATGTCTAAAGTCAGTGAATGGGAGACAGAGAAACTGACTTTAACACAACTCCTCTAGGCTAACCACGAGATACTTCCAGGAACATCAGTGATGCTGGGAAAGGCTCCCTGGGAATTAGTGAAGCAGTGTCTTCTGAAACACAAATGTAACCACATCCCATCCATTGCGGGGAATTTGCAAACTCCTCCAGACACCTGTCTGCCCCCTTCCTGCTCTTCCAGGCCTCACCTTAACAGTGAGGTGAGATCTGTTAGAGGGACATGGTGCTACCAGCTGCTCCCTGTCACTGCAGCAGGTCCCCATCCATCAAGGCACAGAGGGACAAGGGTGGTTACCCCCAGGGAAGGGTCACCTTCCTGTTAAACCTGGAAATATAGATACTGAGCTTAAATGCTCTCCCTCCCCTACAAACAGGCTTTCTCACTTCACTGCATTTTCTTCAGTGTGTAGAGATGGGTCTTGGAACAACAGGTCCTGATCATGTGGCCAAAGGAAGAGGCCAGAGACAACCAGGGTGTCAAAGTCCCGGCTCATTAATCAGTAGCTACACGTATAGGTCAGCCATCCCTTATCTGAAACCTTTGGGGCCAGATGAGTTTCAAAGTAAATTCTTTTTTTAATTTTGGATTTTAGAAAGCTAATATAACATGCCCAGCAGAATCTGAGGAGGCATCCTATCAACACTTTAATACTTTTTTTGTGCCAAAACATGAATATTTATACTAATCTTCTATGAGGTCAATCAAATTAGTTATGAAAAGAAATCCAGAGTTCTCAAGGATGGGGAATTTGGCACCATCTGGTTCACTTTCCTCCAAGAGATATCTAAATTCAATCACTCAGGGACAAAGACCACAGCAGGGAACAGAGAAACGGGGCAACTGCCAAAACCCCATTAGACATTCCCTGACTCAGGAGGCCATGGGACAGACCAGCTGGGATGGGACCACGTTGATCTGAAGAATATCTGACCCAGAAAATGCCTTTTAGGCTGAGCTTCCCTGGCCTCAGAACCCAGAGAGAAATGATTCCAGAGAGCCCTCCATATTCGGAGAATCAGTCCCTGGGACTCTGGCACCTGGGTCCAAGGGGGACACCAACATATATATCCAATCGTAGACCAAAGTAGGACCCACATGGCAGCAGCAGACCAGATTTTTCAGAACCCTGACCTGGTGTGTCTGATGTTAGCTCTACAGGGTGCAGGGCAAATTGTGCTTTGATCTTTCTGCCTTTGAGAAGCAGAAAGAACATCTTATAGCTGCTGTCCTTCTTTACCCCTTTAAACGCCAGCATCCCTAGGTCCCACCTCCTCCCCGTTCTCTTCTCACTCTGTGCATGCTCCCTGGCTAATCGAGTCCACTCCCATGGTCTCACCTACAGCCTCTCTGCCCTTGACTCCTACACCTCAATTATTTAGTCCCACTCTCCTCCCCAACTCCAAGTCATATTTTCAACTGCCTCTTGGGCACCTCAGCTGGTTGCCTCATGTACTCTCTCTCACTGTGCTGTAGTCTACCAATATCTGAGAGCTTCCCAACATCTCCCCACCTTGCACTTAGGTTGGCCACCTGACTGGTTCTGGTGAATGGAATGTGAGCAGAAATGCCAGGTGTCACTTCTGGCAGGGGTACTTAGTACCTGGCGCCCCATCCCCATATTCTTTTCCCCTCCACGATGCCAGGACAAGACAGCCGAGTATCAAAACAGAAACATCCTAGGTCCTGGAGTCACTGCTTAGAAAAAGCCACTGGACCCACATTGATCTGTGAGAGGAATAAACTTTTATGGGGAAAAATTACCAAGAGTTTGGAATTAACTGACATAGCAGCTAGTGTTAATAACCCCCACACACCTGCCCTCTTCACCTAGCAAGCTCCTACTTATTGCTCAAAACTCCAATTCAAATGCCACCTCCTCTGTGAAGTCCAACTTCCATGCGAAGGTCAGCCACTCCATCCTGTGACTTCTAGCCATTCACTCATGCATCTGGCACAGCAATTACCTGAATCTATTGACGCGTTTCTATTTGCATGTTTGGCTCCCACATTTGTGTGTGCTTCTTTTTCCATCCCTATGTTCTCAGTGCCTTGGAAGAAGCAAAGCGATTTACTGAAGCAAAGGTCAGAGCCTTCTTGCTCACGTGACCAGCTAACTACAATCAGCATTTTCCCCTGAGCCATAGTGTTCTCGGCACTATGCTAGGTACTATGGTAGGAGGCAAGACACTACTGCCCACCTCAAGGAGCAGTTTTTCATCATTAGACCTTCTGTACCCCATCATCTCTCATCTTTATTAAAGGACAGCGTCCACTTAAAAAACACATGGTCTTTTCAGGAACTATCAGCTAAAACATTTCTCACAGAGCAAGATCAAAGGGGGGTATTATAGTGACGAGAGGAAAGCAGCACAGGGCTCTCTCCTAGCACCTTTGAGCCTGGCCCACCCAAGCCTGCCACCGTTTAGATCCATGACCTGGTATTCTAGGATCATGCAGGTGTGCCACGGTTATTTCTGGTGTGAAAAGAGCTGCAGTGAAAGCATCACTGGCTTCTGAGGGACCCAGATGTGGAGACGACAGCCTAGCCATGCAGAGTCACATCACCACCGCTTGATAAAGCTTCCCAAACCAAAAGCACAAACCCATGTCACTGGTCAGAGAAAAAGAACAGGAGACCTTTGCTTTTAACACACAGTGAATTGGCTAAAGTAATGTGCACTGTGAGTGTTCCCATCCTCCCAATTCTCTTAAGGACATGATGCAACTCTTAGTTCCAGCCCAAGGGAAATGGTGACCATAAATAATGATGATCAATTATTAATGCAGTGTTTTCACAACAATTCCCACAGACTAGCATTTTACCTGTTGCAGGCGTGGCTTTGCTATGGACATTGAGACGAGTCACTTAATGTATGTTAAACATAAGGTCGGCTGCTAGTGTTCAGACAAAAACACCCACAACAAAGAGCTGTGGCAAACCCAGGAGCCAGGCCCACAGCGGCAGGATGCTGAAGCCCACAGCGGGGCTTCCAGGACACATTCTCAGTACGACTGTCAGAGTAGTAAACGGAACAAGGTTAGACTTTGCAGTTTCCTGAAGGCTGGGATCTACAGATAGTAGGGAAGACTAGGAAAAACAAAAAAATTGTAAAAGTAACTTAGTAGAAGGGAATGGGAGAGTTTGGGAGAGTTGGAATAGTATCTGTTGAAGTAAAACGTCACACGTGATAGATAAGAGGTACATCAAAACAAGGGACACTTCAAGTCACAGCCAAACCCGGGAAATTGTTCCTGGTTGGTATTTTATAGGTCACATACCACAAATAGAACAACGAATGCCTCCCCTAAATCCCATTCAAGATACCAACTGCAAACATGGAAAACAAGAAATTGACTGAAAACAGCATTGCCAGGCAACTTACCTTGTATGAAGATCCTATTCCAGTAGATTTTCCCAACTTGATTGCCCCCGAGAAACACCAGGTTGGACAGGATCAGTATGGAGGTGGAACAAGATGCGAGGGCAGCGTGGAATCGACGGCGAGCTTGTGGGGAGAGGAATCGGGCCTATGGGGAAGTAAGCAAGAGATGCCTCATTGCAAGGGTGGAAAAACGGGATGCAGCCTTTCTCTGTTCCCAGCCCAGGATGCCTCCCCCCAGAGCCTGAGCTAGGTTGTTATTTAAACAGGTCTCAAAATATTCCTGCAGCATGCTCATTCTGGTCTAAGGAAAGAAGTGACGCATTTCTGAGACGTTACTTCCTATTGCCAAAATGGGCTGCTCTCTGACATGTGCAACACAAGTACTGAAGCTGGCGAAGATTTAGTTGAAATGTCTCCACATGCCTTCCACAGGTAAATCTTTAAGGCACAAGAACTGTTTAAACTGCTCTCGATGATAACAAGCACAACTCCATGTAATAAGGTCAAGGTCAGGGAGATTTCTGGACTAGTTAACTTGACCCTGGGAAGCCACCCCACGAGTGTGACCCACTATTAGGAGGAATCCCATTAAGAGAGTGCAGGAGAATAAGTGCAAACCAACCCCACTGTGGCAACATCAGAGAATGGCAGCTTAGCACAGCGCCTGAAATACACAGGAACTGGAGAGACGTTTTCCAGCAATGATGATAAAGAATTCTGCTCATCCATCCGAGGTCTTCATTGCACCTTTTCTCCTCTTTTAATATCTTCTCGGGGATTTCACAAAGTAAACAAAGCCTTAATTTCTCAGCAGTGAGCATTCTGGTGGCCCTACAGAGTGAGATCACAGTGCTGTGTCTGGAGTGTGTGAGCCCCATCAGCACGTCCTCAGGGACTGTCCTCTGGGACTGGGTATTCAGAATGAGAACCAGGTACAGCACCACAACCAGACAGACAGGGCCCCAGGGACTCAGACAAATACCTCAGCCTAATCAAAGATATAGAAGAGAGGGAGCAAAGGGTCTGGAGATGGTTCCTGAAGATCCTCCTGAAACCTACACGTCTCTGGGGTCACTTGCATCCTGATTTCAGCTGCACTCCAGTTACAAATAGAATTCTGAATTACTCAAATTCATGGCAGGCAAAACAGACTAGGCTAGAGGGTGAGTCTTCAGCAGGAGGCTTACTTACTTCTGGCGACCCTGCTGTGGACCGTCTGTGGTCACTCAGCAAGCCTTGGTCAGTGTCCTCTGAAAATCTAGAGAAATGAATTCTTAACCCCTCCCCTTTTCTCTCCTGCCAGTCCCCATGTCTGTTCTGTACGCTTAGATAGAGAGGCTGCCATCTATTTCCCAATCCATGGCTCTCTCTTCCAGCATCACTTTGGAGCGTGGCTTGACTGCCGCCGTATGTGAGAGTGTGGCCTTTCCATGGATAAGCTGTGCAGGAGGCACTGACTGAGCTGTCTGTCTAGACAGGATTGTTCTAGAAAGCTCTCAGGTGCTGCTAACATGTCTCTAGTTAGAGGCCACCAGACAAGATGACCTCTAGTCTCTCCCCTGCTTTAAGAGGCCACAAGCATGTACAGGGGATGCTATCAAACAAGACCAGTTAAGAGAAAACCACACGGTATAAAAACTGGTAATGAAAGAGTAGTGAGGACGAAGCAGGCTTGTAATTCAGCACTCTTCACCTCTGAGAATAAGGAGACATTAATCTACTAGTTTTTGCATTTTAGAGCAAAGGAAGATACTTTCTGGATATTAGTGACTCAATTAGCAGTAACTGGGGAGGTGGGGTGAGAGGAAGCAGGGAGAGAGGAGGAAAATCCAGAATAAGAAATCAAGAAAATACAAATTGTTGTAATTGGCATAAATGTGTTCAAATAATTCTCTCCAGGTGCAGGGCCATTGATAACACATTTGATTTCTAAGGGACCTAGTGAGTCAGACATTCTGCCAGTTCTGATCTAACTCCCTCCCTCAATCTTACATCCTGTTAGGAGAATTCAAAGGCCGCATGTAATCTCTCCCTTAATGAGGTCAACTACAGAGAGTGCACATAGCTTGGTTAAGCTCAAAGTGGTTCCCCTTATATGGGACATGATTACAATTATTAAATAATCAACTGAGAGATACTGAGAGAGGAAAATGCTCTTTGTACTGGATTTCTAAGTAGGGCCATGGTGCCAGGTTACTTCGTACAAGGCAGGGGCCAAGCTATAGTAGGAGGCAGAGCGGAGGGGCAAGGGCAGAGCAAGGAGGAGGTAAAGGGGCGAGTGGGTGCTGGAGGCACGGGGCTCTTCTTTCCAGCACCTGAGGCCCTGGTTGCTGTGGATCTTCCTTGGATTCTGTGATTACCCCACTATCTCTCTCGGCTACATGATTCAATCAGTTCCTGTTTTGCTTAGGAAAGAAAAAGTCAAAACAATAGCAAATATGAAAGAGCCTCTGATCTCAGAGACAGGAGGGAGGACATCTAAAATCTGAAATGACTGACAACAATTCAATTTTTAGAAATAGTTAATTTTTTAAAAAATTAGCAAGAATGTTAAAGGCACAGGCTGTTGGAACTAATAGACTAGAAAGACTTAAAAAAGAAATCAAGATGCTCCTAGGCAATTCTTGATTATCCCCCAGGGTGAGTGGGTGGGAGACAAAATAGAGGATGATAAAGAAAATCCAAAAACCTAATTTTAACTAATAGCTGCGTCCTCTGAACTGACAAAATGAGCCTTGCCAATAAGCAGCAAACTTGACAGAGCATTGCTTCTCTTCATTGTCAATCAGTGGGAGAGCAGAATGATGGACCACAAGGAACGAAAAAGAAGGCCTATGTGGATAATCCACAGGAAGGTAATAATTAATAGCCAAGGGATATAAATCTCGGCTGTGACCCGTCTCTCCTCCTCAGATTCCCTGCACACACTGTAGAAGGTGACAGTTTTGACATTAGGGATCTCTCTCTACCTTGGGAACATCTGGCCTCAGCTATTGGTTTACAGGAATTCTAGAGGTAAGTTCCATACTTAGGGGTCCCAGGAGGAAAAATGCCATATGGGCAAGGCTGGAAGGGCATATTCCCGTGGCCTAGCCAGCTCTATCAATAAATATGACTTTCTGAATCTCTAGGGCCACAGGACCAAGGTTTTCACTTTAAAGTCTTTGTTTCTTTTACGCTCTCCTCTGAAGTCCTATAGCAATTTTGTCATCACTCCTGTGGTCCTTTACATCCAGGATGCAGGCTGTCTATGTGCAGGGGCCACGCCTCATCCGTTAGTCACCCATCCTCATGGCTTAGGTGCTTGAAAACCCTCTTGGTAGGAGAATTCGTATTAAGGAATTGTAAACCAAATGGGGAAACAAATCAGTGTACAATGAAGAGCCAACAGGTATGAAAACAAGAATTGCCAACTTGATCAGATAAGGCCAGGATTGGTAAAGAGAATTTGATTTTCATTAACATGAATCTATCAGGATAAAAAAGAGCTCTGGTGGGGTCATGGTCTCTTCCCAGAAGACAGATGAGTCTGTGCATTCTAATACCCTGGCGGCAAAAAACTGGGAGTGGCACTGTCCCCCAGGGGATGTTTGGAAACTTGCTGAGCATTTTTGGATGTCTCAAGGACAACACAATTGCCAAGAGGCAATGGTAACACTTGATGGGCAGTGTCCAGGGATAATAAATGTACCGCAGTGTATGGGACAGAACTGTCCTGCCCAAAATGTCAATAGCGCCCTCTTGAGAATGGGTGAAATGTTTTCCTTCTATGTTCATTATAGAGCAGACTTCTCTCTCAGCCTATGAGGACAGAGAACCTTCCTTCCTCCCTCTCCTTCCTCCCTCATTAGGACCAATGCCAAAAACATGCCCCCTTTCCCCTGACTCAAAGAAATGTATCTGGGGCAGGGAAAGTTTCCTTCACAGTGCCCCAGTGCTATGCCCCTCCCACCCACCCCCACACCTGGCATCAAATTTGAGAGATGAGGAGCCTCCTGTGCCCCAGCCATGGGCAGGCAAGGTGTACCATCAGTTCCAAGCCTCCTCACCCCTACACTCCTGAAATCCGGAGGAAAGAGGAAGAATGGGAGGTGGAGCAGGTTAGAAAGCACCACTTTGTCCCCGTGCTGGGGTGACCAGTTCTCCCACATGGACTCTGACTGAAAAGACAGGTTGGTGCAATTTCTCTCCATATTAATGTCAATATAACCCAAGGGCAGGTACTGGGCTTTGGGCCTAGATAGAGCAAGCCCCTCAGAACACCCAGAAGTGCAGGCCCGGGGCAGACCTCTAATTCCTCTGTGTGAGTTCGCTGTCTCTGATGGAAGAAACAAGGGCTGGGTTTGGGAATGTTTTATGACGACAGTTTAGCATGCTTTAAACTTCCCTCTAAGACACTGACTTCCAAAGGTGAGGAACAAACCCAAAAAAAGTAAACCTTAGGGCTGAACTAAACTTCTGTCAAACTAGTTTGCATTTCCTCCTGTGAGGTGTCAGCTCCTGTGTTTATTCATATCTCTATGGTAACTCCTCTATCTTTTCCAGTTAACATCCTGTCCCTGCAAATCACAGGACTTCATGGGGCAAACAAGCTGGGGCCTGAGGGGTGCAGTTTGCAGAATCTGGGTCAGAAGTGACGCTCAGAACGACCACGGGGGTAGGAGGCAGATGGTGCGGTGGGGCTGCAGGCTGCTGTGCTCTGTGGGCCCCACACTTTCCATGCAGGGGCTGCATGCGGGGCCCAGACGGGAGGAGGGGATGGGCTGAGCATCTGGGGAAGCAGATGGGCTGGAGGAATGGCTGCTGGAGACGGTGACAAAGGCTTGGCAAGTGGGACCTGATGCTGTTTATTTTTAAGTGGGGGAGAAGCTAAAAAAAGAAACTGGGTGGGTTTAAGCAGCTGGACACAGTTCTGCCATATAATCACTGAATTTTTTCATTTTCTAATAAAAATGCTAACCAGAGGGTAAGAGAAGATGAACAAGGAAATGGCAAGCAGGGAGACTGGTGGAGAGCAGGGAGAGCAAATGAAGAGTGGACACCGCAGACTGTGAGGATGAGACCAAGACAACAAATGAAACAATCACCACTCTAGTGACAGAGAAGGGTGGCCAGAGTGAAACACTCAGGATCAGGAGGACTTGA